CACATACTGTGGTCAGGAGATGTGGGCTGATACAACGTCCAGGAGACAGGCAAAGCGAGCCCACTCATTAGCGGTGTGAGGAGTTGTACCCACAGAGGAGAATATGTGCTTTTTGATGGTGTGAACTCAGTTACCTAACAGGTGTTGGACTTAAAGAGATACACATTGCATACCAAAATCACAGTGAACATCAGGAGACCTAGCAAGCATTTGGTACAATGAGAGAACTGAAAATGCCTGGGACCTCTGTTGTGTGTCTCTGACAGTGCGTGTGTGTGTGGGGGGGCTCTCATTTATACACTCTGAGTGACAGGTCCATGGCTCATCATTCCTACATCTTTTCAGAACATCATATGAGCGGAATGCTTGGCCTCCAACTCAGCCTTTGATGCAGTACTACAACACGTTTGTCAGTGTAAAAACTGTTAGCCACTGGGGCCATCTTGAACATGTTTACGATGTCACCCCAAAGAGAACTGTGCACAGCTCGAAATTTGGTGTCTGCAGGGCACATTCCCACATTCCAATGGATGGAATTGCAATGATGAACTTTGTTTTAAATCGTAATGTCATTCATGAAAACTTGGAGACTGCTGTTGAATTTGGATTGGTATGATAGTGTCTAGTTTTCATTTTTAAATGAAATCCACAGAATTTCAGCCAGAAATTCTGACCAAAATTTCAACCAGAATGATTTCACATTCTGTCCCTCTCTCAACTTCTTTCAATGATCTGCAACTGCAGAAATCACTTTGTGTCTTTTTCTTTGAAATTCTTTTTATATGTCTTTGTGGTGTGTGTGTGTGTGTGTGTGTGTGTGTGTGTGTGCGTGCCCGAGCATATGCACGTGGATATGATATGACACACTTGTGGAGGTCAGAGGGCAACTTTCAGCAGTCAGTTATCTCCTTCGACCATATACGGTCCAGAGATCAAGCTCAGGTTCTGACAGGTGCCTTCACCCATGGAGCTGTCTTGCCAGCCTCTATGAGTGTGCCTTTATTTAGCAAAAGAATATTAAAACTTGAATCTCCAACTTTCTGAACATAGATTCCAAGGCACTTTTAGTACCAGAGGGTCAGAAGTCTGGGGTGTTCTCACTTACGGTGTCCTTTCTCTAGTGGCCTGCCTGATTTCTGAATGTAAAAATTACTTTTTAAAAGAAGCAATTTGTAGTATTTCAAAGACCAAATTAATTCTAATTATATTGTTATGTTGTAGCTTGATTTTGTGTGGATCTAAAGTTGAAGACTATTTAGTGTTATGACAATTTATTTTTCTGAGAATGCTATGTAAACTTGAATTTCCTATGCATTTTAAATGTAGTAAAGGGACTTTTGTAGGAGATAAAAATAATGTATGGTGTAATGGTCACAAATGGGCACCTGATATACCTGGTAGGTTAGGTTTTATGAAGATCAAAATCCCCTCCTTGTCTCTTGATAAGGGAAAAATCTCCAGTCAGCATTATTCTGCTAGACTTCTGGGCTGGGTACCTGGGTGACAGATTCTGACTTCAGGGTGGGGCTCTCTTTTCTTTGTCTAGATGGACAGGGCAGAAGGAACCCCAGCCTCTTGCAACTGATCCCTCAGGGCCCAAGGCTGTGAGCTTGCAAATCACAGCAGTCAGGTTGTGAACCACTGCTTAGTTCTTCCCCAGCTGGAAGGAACCCCTCCTCTGTGAGGCACTACCTCCCAAGAGCCTCTGCTCTTTATTCCCTGGCCCACCCTGCATTACCAGTTCTTGTCCCTCCTCTATCCTCTCTTGGCCCGTCATTCCCCTTCTGTCCTCCATCTCCCTTTTCATTCTTTTGTTGTGTTCCCTGAAACTTGCCTGTGACACTCAAGGTCAAACAGACTATTCCTTCTCCAGCATGACCGGGCCTTTTAACTAGAAATCTAGAAAGTTCAGTTGAACTTGCCTCTTCCTGAGAATTCTGTTGCCTCAAGACTCCTGTCTTCCATTCAGGCTTTTATCAGGTACCCCTAATCCTTGAGGGGAACCTATTGGGGGATTTGTTGTGCACAAACTCACTCTGCTGGGGATCGGTAGCTACCTGAGGTCTCAACAGACCATGGTGTAACCTGTCAGGTCCAGCGCAGGTTGAGGTTCTAAGATTCAGCTGCCTAACTGCAGAGCTAAGTGCTTTGTTTTTGGCAGCCAGAACCCCAACCACTGCCAGCCCTGAATGTGGAGGCTGAGCTGATGGCCTGTCCTGAGCCTATGTGTGCAAAGGGCATCACAGATTCTAACTTGCTGCTTTTTCCAGAAGTCTTTGTAGTGGTTAGAAACTATCTTCCTGGCAAAAGCAGCCGGGCTATGCAACGTCTGAGCTTTCATCAGTTCCCAGGCCTTATTAAGGTCCTTCAATTGAGAAGGGCAGCACTGGGTGGAGTCTGGGGAAATGTAAAGGCCTTCCTTTCTCTCTTTAGATCCTGACTTTTCTAGAGTGCCTTAAGGAAAGGACACAAAGGCCCTGAGTGTGTGTTTGTGTTACTTCCTTCAGTCTTGAAACAAGATTCTGTCTTCTCTTTTTCATTCCTGTTAAATTTTGTTTGTGTCAAGTGTATGATTTATTTTCAGAACTGAGGGAAATACTGTTTAGCCTGTTTCCTCTACTTTCTGAACTTCCAGCATTCTTGGGGGGAATCCCTCAGGTCCTAGGCACAATCAAGACACTGTTGGGTCTGGACATTTGTCTGGCTGATGAAATGCTGGATTAGCATTCTCCCCGGGGATTCCAGGACTGAGGATTCAGGGAGCAGTTCCTTTTCCTGGGAGTTATGACCATGCCATCATATGCTGTGCCTTTTTCTGTCTGCCCTGTTGCTGGTGACCTGTGAATGACCTTTGGGAAAGCTCAGAGGCCCCAGGGGTGGGAGGGGGGACAACAGAAGGGCTCGGCTGGCTTTCAGCCTGGCAGGGTCTCTACTGACTCCTGGGCTGGGCATGGTATGGCAGAATGGCAGTGCTCCTGTTGTGTGTATTTATCTTAGGGGGAAGGCTATATCTGGCCTTGGTATTGGGAACAGACAACTGTGTTTTTGCCTTTGAAATGCAGTAATATAACATGAGTAGATGAACCTACCTATATGAAAAAATAAACTAATACCCCCCCACATAAAACAAACAAAAAAAGTGTAAGAATAAGTTTAAAATAAGGCAATGGGAAAGGGAAAAGGACGTCAAAGCTGGGGATAAGGCTCAGTGAGTAAAATGCTTGCTGTGCAATCAGGAGGACCTGAGTTCAAATCTCTGGCATCCACATAAAATCGGGAATGGGCTGTGTACTTCCCTGTAACCCCAACCCTGGAGAGGGCTGGTGGAAACAGGTGGATCCCCAGAACTTACTAGCCAAGCAGTCTAACCAAAATGATGATCTCAGATTCACTGAGAGACACTGTTTCAAAAAGCACAGTGGAAAATGATAGAGGAAAACATCTTTGGCCTCCACATGTGCCCACATGGTGGTGGGCACCCTCACACACACACATGCACATACAGGCGTATAACACACACATTTTAAAAAAGGAAAGAATAAAAGGATACAAGCTTGTGAACAGCAGGCAAGCAGTGCTTAGGATTTCAAAAGTGAAACGACTGAGGAGTTATAAATTCTGGGGCATAGCTCCGGTGTGGGGGTTGGTAGAAGGGGAGTGGTGACCATAGCTATTGGAGTTGTAAGGTGGTCTGGAAATGTAAGATACACAATAACGGTGAACTTGATATCATTAGAGCAAAAAAGTGAACTATAATCCACATTTTTGGAGATGAAGAGACACAGGTCTAAGCAGGTATGCAGCCCCTCTTAGTAAGAAAATCAGGTTGGAATTCACGTCCATCGATTCCCAATTCATGCATTCAGTGAAGCAAGTGTTTTAACACTTAGGCCAAAGCATAATCGTCAGGGTTATTGTTAGCCACCGAATTTACGTGTGTTTGTGTGTTACAAGAAAACATTATGCTGGCGATCAGGATCGAGTTTGCTTATGTTATCAGATCCTTAAAAGGATCACTGTGATTCTACACCGCGAAACACCTGAGCATCCTCTAGAGGAACAGGAACAGGACTTGCAATCAATTTTGTCATGTCCTTTCTCCCTACTCGTGCCTTGTTTTCCACTGAACAGAACAAGTGAGAATGTTGAGTCACATTGGAGAGTCTGATGAACCCTCTCTGTCTCTCATCCCTCTATCTTGAGTATGTTGGTTCATTTTCTCACTCCAGGTTTTTAGATCTAATATGCTTTTCCTTGAAAATATCCACTATTGGGACTGACAAGATGGCTCAGCGGAAGGCACTTGAACACAAGCCTGACAGCCTAAGTTCGATACCTGAAACCCAGGTGGAGAAGGGAGAGGACCGACTCCTGCAAGTTGTTTTCTGACCTCCACACATGCACTCTAGCAACATGCTCCTCCCTCCCACACGTATACAAACACAGAAAATAAATAAATAATATAAAAAGAAAACAGCCCTTGTTTTTGCATAGAAAATGGCAAGCGCTCTAGAAGTGTTAGGTACACTAAAGACATTGGAGACACGGGATGACAGGAGCAAATATGTTCTGGATTATGCAAAAAGAACTGCTGAGAAGGGCTGATGATCAAGTCTGTCTTATGAACAAGTTAACTGTGTGTGTGTGTGTGTGTGTGTGTGTGTGTGTGTGTGAGGTATGACTGTTTTGGGTATACTGAGGTATGGAATTGGCGTTGGGTGCCTTTTTGTATTTCTCTCCACTGTACTTTTTGAAATAGGGTCTTGTATTGAACCTGGAGCTCACGAATTTGATTAGACTGGCTGGCCAGCACAGCCCCTGTTTGCCTCCCTAGCACACTCAACAGGAGATTCAAACTCAGAGGTTTGGATTTGTGAGTCAGGCATTTTCCTGACTGGCCATGTCCCCAGGCCCCACAGTTGACATTTTAATCACAATGCCTATCTATTCCTTCAGACTGATGGAGCTCTGTGGTGATCTACTTATCTGTTTCTGTCTAGATGGCGAAGAAGCTAAACATATTGGAAGTCCTTCTGATCATTTTCAATATAATTTTATTGGCATTGGATATCATTTTGCTGCTTCTTGTGCTAGAGAAACCTTCAGGTAAGGGTGATGTGGGTGCTGAGTTGGAAAGATGGGTAGAGGAAGTCCCCTTTGCATGCCAAAGATACCATTTTATTCATTATTGAAGCCAGAAGATGACAATGGATTCCATAGAACTTGAGTTATGGATGGTTGTTAGCTGCCATGTTGGTGCTGGCAACTGATCCCTGGTCCTCTGCAAGAACAGCCAGTGCTCTTAACTGCTGAACCATCTCTCAGTCCCTGTGTAACACTTTTAAATAACAAAAGAGATTATGCTCTATCTAGTATATATGTGTTTATTCTTTTACTTAGCATAAAACCAGACCATATCTGTAATCACGCTAAAACACTCTGACCATCCAAAGCAGTTACTGCTTTAACTCTTTTTACATACTAGACTTTTCCTCTGACCTATTTTTAAATATATGCTTATATGACTTGAAAAACAGATTTAATATCTATTTCATGGTTGAAAATATGTAATATGGTCCTACCTGTTTAATAGAATTTTATATATACCAAAGAGTATTGTTACTTACAGGAACAATGTTGTGTATCAGATTTCTAGAACTTACCTTGCGTAATTGAAATGTTATACACATTTATCAGCAATTATCCATCTCCTTCTCCACATTCTGCTTGCTTCTCTGTTTGACTGTTGTAAGCATTTCACATAGGAGATAATGAGGTATTTATCTTTCTATGACTGCTTGCTTTCACTTAGGATAACATCCCCCAGGTTCATCCAGGTTGTTACATATTGCAGGACTTATTTTTTAAGACTAAATATATTTGAATGTATGTAAATATACATTTTCTTTCTAAAATTCTTTTTTTAAATAGTCATACACAAATATAATGGGTTTTGAACAAATGTACCCCCCTTTCCCTGTAGCTCCTTCCATCCCCCCCCCACCATTTTTCTTTTCCAACTTCCTGTATATTCTCTTTCTTTTTAAATATCCACTGAATCCACTGAATGCTGCTTGTATGTGCAAAGGTGTTAAACTATCCACTGGAACATGGGTAACCTTTTAGGGTTTGGGTTCCTGAAGAAAACTGACTTTCCCTCCCCTAGCCATTAATTGTCAATAGCTTCTTCTACAAGGGTGAGACTTCGTGAGCCCCTCCCCATCTATTCTGGGATTTGGCTGGCTTGATCTTGGGCAAGTCTCCTGCATGTAGTCCCAGATGTTGGGAGTTCATATGTCAGGTCTGAAATATACTATTTTGCTGCAGATATCCACTGCTTTTGGCTCTTACAATATTTCCACTCCCTCCTCCAAGATCATCCCTGAGCCTGGGGATGAGGAGATGTGATATAGGTGTCTCATTTAGAGCTGGGTATCCAACAGTCTCTTATTCTCTTCGTGTTGGCTGGTTGTAGGTCTCTACTGATGGTCATCTATTGCAGAAAGAAGCTTCTCTGTTGAGGAATGAGAGATGAAATATTGTTTTGGGTGTGAAGAAAAGAATTCAGGGGAAGTTTCTTACTATGCTCATTTAGCAGAGTAACAGTACCAGGTTCTTTTAGAGCCTATGACCTAGCTAGCTATGGGTTTTTGGCCCAGCTATGGGTTTTGGTACCAGGCATAGGTTCCATCTTGTGGAATGAACTTCAAATCCACCAAGAAAGTGGTTGGTCACTCCCATAACATTTCTGCCACTACTGCACAATGGGCATAGTTTACCGGGCCAGTCATTATCGTAGCTCCCAGAGTTCACAGCTAAGTAAGACTGTTGGTAACTTTTCTCACCCGATAGTGTGCATAGCACCTTTCAGCACTGCGAAACCTAGGTAGTAAAGATGAAGCTTGCAGGTCGATATCAGTTTGATTGCTCTATGCCCTGTGACTCAGATACACGTACATTTATATGTTCTTTGTCTCACTCAGCCTTCAATGGGCATTTAGGGTGTTTACACATCTTGGTTATAGGGAATAGTGGTAGAGTTAGCAGGGAAGTATAATATCTCTTTAAGATCTTGACATCAATTCTTTTGGTTAAATTCTTGGAAGTGGATTAAGAGATCATGTGGTAGTTTTATTTTAAACATTTTATCCATAGCACACAAGGGTTCACATTTTTCACATCTCTCCAACAGTCGTCTTTTGGTTTGTTTTGATAGTAGCCTCTTGAGCAGGTGTGAGATGATATCTCTTTGTGGTTTTGATCTGCAAATCACTAGTGCTTAGTGATGTTGGGCATCTTTTCACCCCTGTTGGTCATTGGTGTGCCTTCTTTGAAGAAATATCTATTTGTGTGCTTAGCCTGTGTTTAATCAGGTTATTCATTTATGGATTCCTTGTAGAATTTGGAATTTAACTTCCTTTCAAGTATATGGCTTGCATATACATTCTCATTTTCTATATCTTGCTGTTTCCCTCTGGTGATTGTTTCTTCTACTATGCAGAAGATTTTTGTTTTTATACAGTTTTATTTGTTTAACATGATGGCTTACACTTGTAATTCCAGCACTGGGAGGCTGAGCAGGAGGCTGACATGAGTTCAAGGCCAACCTGAACTACATAATGAGTTCCAGGTCAGCCTGGGCTACCGAGTGAGAATCTATTGAAAAACAAACAAATAGACAAATAACATAAACATAAACAATAAAAAAATCAAATGGATAATAGAACTAGATATCCCCCTGCAAAAATTCTTGATTTCTACCTGGAAATATATCTGAAAATTAATTTAAAATAGATCAAGACCTAAATGTAAAAGCCCAAACTGTGAACCTCTAAGAAAAACCCCATAGCTATGAATATTTGAGATCTTGAATTAGTCAACTGTTAAATGAATCTCAAGCACAGAAACAAAAGGAAACAAGTAGGTAAAATGGACTTCAAATAAATTGAAAACTTTTGTCCTTCAAATGACAAAATTAAACAGTCCCCCGCCAAATCCCACATGAAATACATTAATGTTTCTAAAGGAAATGTAAAACAGTGCTTAGCATCTAAGATATATAATGAAGGACATCTGGGTACAAATGCTTCCTTGCATAGAACTTAGCATGTATGGCGGAATACATAAGGTCCGATGGTAGGGGTGGGGGGCATGGATAGGGTCTAAATTTGATTTAGAACTGTTGAATGAAATGTACAAAAGCTCAATAAAACATTTAAAAAGCTGCAATTCAGAAATAAAAAGGAAACCTAATTTGTAAATAAGCAAAGAATATAAATAAACCATTCTCCATAGAAAAATCTACAAATGACCTTAAGACTAGCAAGGATAATCAACATTATTAATTATTTGGAGAAAATAAGCCGAATCAATGAGATGCTACTTCATCGAGGTGATTTTAATAACATAGGAACAAGTGATCTTTAGCTAACGAAGAAGTTGGAACCCTAATACATTGCCAGTAGGAAAATAAAATGGTACAGTCACTTTGGCAATTTGTTTTAAAAAAAGTTAGAGATAGAGTTAGTTATGGCTCAACCACTCCAATTCCAGATCTGTAATCAAGAGAGCCGAAAACACTTTCACACAGAAACTGCAACGTGAATGTTCATAATAGAATTATGTGTAATGGCTGAACAGTGGAATTGACCCAAATGCACATCATTTCTGTCCTGTTTGTATAATGGAATATGATTTACCCATGGAGGGGAATGAAGCATTGATACATACTAAAGTGTGGACTAACCTTGGAAACTCCATGCCAGACATAAACTGCTTCAGAACAGACAAATCCACAGAGAAAATAGATGCATATTCTCTCAAGACTGAATGAAAAGGGGGATAGAAAAATATCAATAACACATATGTGATTTCTTTGGGGGCTGATCAAAGTATTTTAGAATTCATTAGTCATTATTGTTTATCCAACCTTGTAAATTAGTGGAAACCATAGAGTTGTATGTATCTGGGCTTTTTGTTGTTGTTTTTTGTTTGTTTGTTTTGAGGCAGGGTCTCCCTATAGCTCTAGCTGGCCTGGAACTCACTGTGTAGACTGGTCTCAGTCTCACAGAGGTCTGCCTGCTTCTGCCTCTTGAGTGCCAGGATTAAAAGTGTGCCCCACCATGCCCAGCCTAGAATTGCACATTTTAAAAGGGAAATGTACATTTTGTTTTTTCCTTCCCGGAGTTTGTGATTACACTGTAAATTCAACTTTGCCCTTTGCTTTCTTTACAGATTCTTCATTTACTCCTGAGTGTCCAGACATCTCTGAGTCAGAAAGGATAGACTGTGCTCCTGGCCAGGTGGTGACAGAGGTCAGTGATGAGCTTCTTGCTGGTGGTCTTCTGGGTTTTATTTAAAATAACTGAGTCTGTTAAGTGGGAAAAGAGTGGTGGTGGGATGAATTACAAGTCTACAATTTCTTGTCTTAATGGAAAATGTAATAAACAACAGCACCAAGGACATAAGGGAAGCAGACAGCATAGGCGCAAACAAGGTTCCAAAGTCCAAAGTAGAAGGAAGTTACAAATATTGAACATCTTTCAAAGTTGATCTCGGAAAGGTTAAGTGCTTATTGTTTGTTGTTCCTTAAGAAGGAGGCCATCAAGCAATTGTGGATGACTGGGTCACTTAACTTATGTTACTTCTTGTAACAAGAGACTTCCATAGTTATGTCCCAGTGTACATGGGGCAAAGAACAGAGATTTTCCTCCTGGGAAGATTCCATGAGCCTATCAAGTGCTTGAACCCCGCTCTATTGTGACATGTATGACTTATGTCATAAAGGTGGTATGCATTTAGATTTTACTTATGAATCCCATAGTCTAACAGTCTATATCCAATAGTACAGTATTTTGATAGTAATTAGGACTATATTGGACTTTGGTTAAAAATGGTAACTCAGTAATTTAATCTTCCTATTATAAAAATCTAGAGAGCCTCTAGATACATGTACACATATAATTGTAAGATTGTGTGTGTGTGTGAGAGAGAGAGATAGAGAGAGACAGAGAGAAAGTTTTGTGCTGCTCAATATGTTTTATTGTATATGAAGGTTTTCCTTGGTATTTCATAGATTTAGTTTCCTTTTTAAGATTTATTTTATTTTAAAAAAATTTTATGTGCATGAATGTCTTTCCTGAATGTATGCAAGTGCACCCATGCTGTGCAATGCCTGAGGAGGTCAGAAGAGGCCATTGGATTCCCTGGAACTGGAGTTATGGACAGTTTTAGTCACCCTGTGGGTGCTGGGAACTGAACCCCCATCCTCTGTAAGAGCAGCCAGTGTTCTTATCCATTTAGCCATCTCCCCAGCACTGATAGTTTTAGTTTCTATTGAAAATATAATTCATTATGTGTTCTAACTGATGTTTATGTTGATTATAATGTTACTTTTCTTGCTAATGATTCTTTTGCATGTTTTACCTTTAATTAAATTATAATTATGATTAGATATTTATTATATATTTGATCAACTTAAATTTTCTATCTTTTCTCAGAAAGCTTTTATTAGTTCTTCCTTTGAGATACTATAGTTCCACCCTCAACAAATAATGATAATTTTACTGTCTTAGTATTTGTCTTTCATTCATTTCCGAGTTCAGTTGTACTTTATAGTTCTGAAGTGATGATGGCCAGTGTTTTAGCTTGCTTCTCTGTTGCTCTGATAAAACACCATAACCGAAATCAACTTGGGGAGGAAAGGATTTATTTAGCTTACAGGTTACAAAACCGAGGCAGGAACTGAAGGCAGGAGAGTCACTGAGGATGCTGCCTGCCGGCTTGCTTCTCCTGGCTTGCTCAGCTTTATTTGTCATACAGCCCATGCTTACCTGTCCAGGGGTAGCATTGCCCTTGGGCTGGGCCGTTCTACATCAGTTAACAATCAAGAGAATGCCCCATAGGCATGACCACAGGCCAGTTCTGTGGCCGAAATTCCTCAGTTGAAGTTCGCTCTCTTTAGGTGTGTTGAGTTGACACCCGAGATTATAGTCAGAAACCTAAACTTTACTTGGATTTTATGAAAGTTTCTTTATGTGTAAAATAGTATGCACAGTGTGAGCTGCTTACTTAAGAGAGCTGCTTTATTTACATTTGGAATCATCTTTATATACCAGTTATAGGAATTTTATTTATTTTATTTTTTTAATTTTTTGGTCTTTTTGAGACAGGGTCTCCCTGTAGCTCCAGCTGCCTGGAACTTATTCTGTAGACCAGGATGGCCCCGAACTCACAGAGGATCCACCTGTCTCTGCCTCCCAAGTGAAGTAGATTTTTAAAAACAATTTAGTGCTGATGTAGTTAAATATGTAGAAAATACCTATCATTTAAATCCCCCTATTAATATTTTACTTCTTGTATGTATTAGTCCCCCTTACTTCCATCTATCCATAAGTCCATCTTATTTTTATGCAATTTGCAGTAAATTCCGGAAACTAATTCACTTTCTCATGATTTATTCATCATGCATATCACTAGCTAGAGATGAAGGTTTAATTGTACTTTATCTTAAGGTATTAAACTACCATGCAATGCAAATACAGAGAATTGAACATTTCACATAATGCTGAGGAGTATTTATTGAGTTATAATGTGATTCCACCTGTGTAGATTAATGCAGTCAGGGTAAGTAAAGCTATCATCACCATACCAAATTCCCTCATGACATATTGCTGTAGTTGTTCCCACTTCTATTGCTCTGGGAGGATTTCTTCCCAGTCACTTAGCTTTCTTTATTGCAGAGCATCACAGAGCAGAATCACAGGTAAAGCCTCTTCATCCAGAATGTTCTTGGGATGCATCTATAGTGTTGTATATACATATCAAACTCTACTTTAATAATATTTTATTGATTGCTTGAGAATTTTATACAAAGTACTTTGATCATATTTAGGCCCCTCCCCCATCTCCCCTCAGACCTTTACCCATCCCCCATACCTCTCCGTTACCTCATGTCCTCTATGTTTTGTAAAGTCCTATTGAGTCTAATTTTTGTTCCACGTATGCACTTGGGTGTGGGTTCATCCCCTGGAGCCTGGTCAACCTACCTGGCCTCACACCTTTAAACAAAACTAACTCTTCCTTTCCCAGCAGCTATCTGTTGCCAACAGAGCCTCAGCTACGGCTGGGGCTTCTTCACTGCCTCTTCCCTTCATGCTGTGTTTTTGTGTGGTTGGGGCTTGTTCATGTCTTGTGCATTCTGTCACAAGTGTTGTGGGTTCATATATGCAACTTCCCTGTTGGGTCCAGAAAACGCAGTTTCTTTGTATTCATCCGCCACCCCTGGCTCTTAAAATCTTTCTGTCCCTCTTCTGCAACAATTCCTGAGCCTTGGGAGGAGAAGGTAGGATATAGGTGTCCTGTTTGAGGCTCAGCACTCGACTGCCCCTTATTTTCTATGCATAGTTGTGGTCTGTGTTAATCGCCATCTCCTGCAAGAACTTTCTCTGGTGAGAGTTAATCAATGGGCATAAAAATAAGTCCTTAGGAGTTTGTTTCAAACTATTTCCATTTAGCAGAACAATAATAGGTTTTGGCCTATAGCCTGTGACCTGCCTAACCACAGGCTCTTGGCCCTGATAACAGAGCCAGGTAAACTGGTTCATCACCTCCCAAGCATTTATGTTGCTATTATACCAGAGGGTACATCTTGCCATTCAAGTCACTGTTGTAGCTTATAGGGTTCACATCTGATAAAGTTGATGAGTACTTTTCTCTTCTGGTAGCATGCATAGCACCTTCCAGTATTATGAAAACTAGCCAAGAGAAATGAAGCTTTGAGGTCAATACCAGCTTGATGTTTCCAATGTTTGGTCTACAATTTATCATGTAGTTTCTTCTGTTCTAGAGTCTTACTGTCAAGTTCTCCAGGGTAACCAAGAGCAATGGCAATAGTCAGTGTTGTCTGAGCATCTATGGGATCCCCTAGTCAGCAGCTCCAGGGCCGGGGAGCTCATTCCTGTCACGGGGCTTTTTATTTGCTATTTTTTCTTGTGGTTGAGGGACATTCTGTTATATGAGTACACCACAACTTGTTGAGCCATTCTCCTACAGACCTACACTGCTGTGTTCACAGAAGCACTATTAACTTTTACATAGAACACTGTCCACTTCACCCATGCTTTGAAACTTATAAGCTTAGATATATACTAGCTATCCTTAGCTCAACATTATTTTTATGAAACATCCCATTGCTGGGAGAAGTTACAAGTCTTCATAAGTCATTGCTTTGACACTATTGTATTTCATTGTGAATAAACTAAAATATTTTCCTTTTATTTATTTATATTGAGTTTTTGTGAATTTTTTAATGTTTATTTTTTATTGAATTTTTGTACATTTAATACAAACATCTCAATCATCTTTATACCCTCCCCCATCTACACTTCCCTATAGCCCCCGAACCAAACTTCAATGCATTCTGTCATATATGTTAAGGCCTATTGAGTCAAGTTAGTGTACCCAGATGTCCCTAAGTGCAGGTTCATTCATTGGGGTCTAGTCAGCCTATCTAGGATCTCTCCTTAAAGAGGAACTACTCTCCCTCACCCAGCAGTACTCAGCTGCCAATAGTTCTTTGGCTAAGATTGGGGTCTGCTGTCCATTTCTCCAGTTCTATGCTGTGTTTTTGTCTGATTGATGGGTGTTGTGCATGCTGACACCATTGCTATAAATTCATATTAGCAAGGTTCCAGGACAATATATTTTGATCATATTTAGCCCCTTTCTCCTATCTGCACCTCTTTTTTATATACCCTCCACCAGATTTCATGCACTCATATATACTAATTATATATTATTATGTATTATCATGTACTCATATATACTACATATGTATATTAATATACATTTCAGTTACTCACATATACTAAGGTCTATCAAGTCAAATTTGTTTCCCCAAATATCCTTCAGTGTGAGTTCATCCACTGGACCCTGGTTAACCTACCAGCATCACATCTTTAAAGAAAACCAACTCTCTCATGCTCATCAGTTATCTGTTGCCAATAGATGCTCAGCTGAGGTTGAGTCTTCTTCCCCACTTCTATGCTGGGATTTTGTCTGGCTTGAGTTTGCATAGGTCTTATGTTGTGCTGTTACAATTTCTGAGTCATACGCATAACTTCCCAGGTGTCTGGTCACCTGCCACCTCTGGATCTTACAATCTTTATACCCTCTTTTCTGCAATGGTCCCTGAGCCTTGGATGGTAGCGTTTTGATATAGATGTTACATTCAGGGATAAGCATGCTGCAGTCTCTTATTCTCTGCACTTTGACCAGTTGTGACTTTCTGGGCTAACCACCATCTGTTGCATGA